TTTCAAATACTAGAGACTTGTGCTTTGGAATATACATACATTTGAACATTATGATTACTTTCTGAATTTGAGATTGTACGTCTAGAAATTAAATTATTCAACAATCAAATTCTCATAATATGAACATGAACATTAATTTCATACTGAATATACTTCTTTATTACTATTCAGAAATTAAAAAATCTAATAGACAAATTGTCAACTTCATAAAAAATAAATCAATTCGATAGGTATTTTCAGCCGATAATTTGATATAGACATATTAGCATAATGCATACATACATACATATATTTACGTATGTAAAATAGATTATTAAAATTATTTATGGGTAATTCTTTATTTTACAACTACACCATTTGATTTTTTAGTCAAAAGTCCTTAAAATATTACACAGGTAAAAAACTGGATTCAAAAATTAAATCGCTAGACGAATTTTTAGAGGATAATTTATTTAATTTTAATTTCCCTAAGTTTCGATGAAAGGCAAATATTTGTTTAAAGTATATAAAGTCATAGTCTCATTTAATATCCATTTCTTCACTCGGCTTACTTCAGTCTGCACTTACATTCATCTTTTATAAAAATAAAACCAATATACTGATTTCACTTACGTGTACGACTTTCATGGTTCGAACACAGGGTTTAATATAATTGTGAATCCTTCTTAATAACAAAAAATAAATAAATAAATAAATATATGTAAAAGGAACAAACATAAAGTAAAATATGATTTGCATAAATAATTTGTAATCTAGTGAAAAAATTTTAGGTACTTGTATGAAATGTATTTCGAGTATAAATTTAAATTTGTTCATATACATATGTATATTATGAATTCTTGTTTTAATAGGAGGTTTGTGTGGCCAATGCATACAAAGAAAAATATTTTTTATTTAGTTTTTTCTAACCTCTATATTATTAAAAAAAAAAACTAATTGTTTTGTTAGTTGCAAATATAAAACTATAAATGTAAATCATATGAAATGCATCACAATAGAAATTGCTTGTAAATTGAACAAAAGTATGGCACGCTCAGCTAAATCAAAACTTAAATTGAAAAAAAAAAAAAAAATTTAACGAAACAGTTCCCATGTCGGATATGTAAGAAGTTGAGATCAGAATTGTATTTTATATTTTTATTGGCAAATGTAAAAGCAACTTTTAATTGATATAATGAAAAGCATTCCTTCTAAGCCGAGACCTCCAATTGTAAAAATGTGTTTGTAATTCTCGAATTGGATCAGTTTGATTATATTCAAACAAAACAACCAAACTATGTTTATATGTATTTACTACTATACTGTCTATAGTTATATGTTGCCCTCAAATTAAAATATCAACTTACGAACAGTCTGAATATTTTGTAAATCTATCAGAATAATGCAAATACCGTATATAAATACTGATACAGTACTACAGAAAAAGTAGAACTTTCAATAATATATCTCTATTATATAAAACGTTTTGAGTGACTTTCTTTGTATATTTAACCCTCTTTAATGTAGATTTCAAATATTTGTATAGCTTTTATTACCTTACAAATAAGTTTACCCTTTGGTAGTTTGATTCCAGGGTATTCCTTTCAATGGCACAAAATGACTATGCGGATGGTAATTGTTGAGCCTCTGCTGGCGGTATTTATTTGCGAGGATGCCTATGGCAATGTTGCGACAACTCGAAAACGAAAAAAAAAATCAAATTCATTTTCGTTGCAATTTTCGGTTTTTGTTGTATTTTTTGAAATGTTTTTCAAATCAAATATCGACAACTGCGGCTAGACTGAGGAGCGAAGCGACATGGCTTGATTGCCTTTGACTGCATATTTATTTGTATGGGCAAGCCGGAATCTTTTTTCAATCATTTTGTTGTAGTTGTTGTTGTTGTGTTTGTTGTGTTGTGCTGTGGGATTTTTCATTTTGTACAGTATTGAGCTGTTCGTATTTTTACGCTTTTTGTCAACATTCTGTTGTGTCAGACTTGTTTGCTTTATCAACTGGACTCTCTCTCCCTCTTTCGTCTCTCAGCGAGCCGTTGGTTTTTAATGCAATGTTTTGATTACGTACTCAGGCAGTGCTGCCTCTGCTGCTTCTTTGTTGCATTCAGCCATCGAGCATTGTCTTTGCGGGCTCGCCTTATGGAAGCATATCGAATGCATCTACACCTCACATCGCCTGCATTGGCTAAGATATTGCTGAGATGAGCTTTAATCAACGACTGCAGGCCCATTGATTGACTCAATGACTCGGCACAGTTTGCGGCAATTGAAAATGCATGTCATTTAGTGGCTATTCATGCAAATCATCTCATGCGAGCGATGCGATTTGGGCGCAAGAGCAAAAGTCCTTTACTGCAGTCAGTTCTAGAATTGCTGATGTTGACATTTTGCTTGGTTCATCTGCTGACAGACATTTCAGTTGTAAGCTAAAGGCAATTCTGTCAAGTTTTAATTGAAACTGAAGTGTCAAGAAACGAACAGTAAATCAATAATAACACAACAAAGCTACAACAACTTGGTTACTATTTAAAGTGTTGGAGCTCATTTGATTATGATCCAAAATGTAGCCTTGATAATGAGTTTTATTTAAAAAAAAAAAAAAAAAAAAAAAAAAAAAAAAAAAAAAATTTTTTTTTTTTTTTT